CCTTCTCCGATTTGTCCTTCAGCCAATTTTTTGATTGGGGGCGCTCAAACATTTCCGGTGCCTACGTCATGCTGGCCAGCTATGCGGATGAAACCAAGGCAAAGTACCTGGATTACCTCAACTATCAAGGCCACGTCATAAACGGCTCTCCTAACGGTGTAAACAGGGTCTCAGTCACGCTTAAGAACAATCTTTTAGATCAGCTGTCGAAAGTTTACGGAATTGAGCGGAAGTCCATCCCGGAACCACTTTCGGCGATATCCCAGTTCTGGAAGTCTTATCCTTACGGAGGTTCCTGGGTGGTTTGGAAGGCCGGGTATCGCTACGATGACGTCATATCCACAGTGCAGCGTCCATCTTTAACGGATGACGTGTTTCTGGTAGGGGCAGACCATTCTCGTGGCTACCACGTAGGATGGGCCGAGGGTGCCTATGAGACGGCCGACCGTGTGCTCAATCTATACTTCTTTTAATGTCTATAATGTAGATTACAATTCATCGTACAGTCTGAGTTTCTACAGTTTGTTCTTACCCTAAAAAGTATATATAAATATATTATTATAATGCGAGTTTAAGATTTTGACTGAAAGCAACTGCCACTTTTAGAAATGCAGGTTTTTTTTGTTGTTTTTTTTGTAAATTCTTATTTATACGCATATTTTCTTTTAGCGCAGTTTTCAATCGTATTTTTTTATTTTTAGTGGCCCAATCAAAGAGATTTAAAAGGAGTTTGCAGAACAAGACTTTCCGATCCACATTACTGTAGAAGAGCTTCTTCGGTAATGACTCTCATCATAAGATGTTAAAACATATTTTTTTTTGTTTATTAAGTATATATATATTATGCGAATTACTAAAATGCACTGAAATTTTTATTTATTTAGGAGCAATAAGAAATATGCATAGTTTCAGGGAAAAGTGTGGGGGTGGGGGAGGGGGGGGGGAGAAAAACCTAAAGAAGGGCGATATTTTTTTTCTATTGTATTGTCCTTCAGATTTTTTGCCCAGCCTGTGTATATTCTTGTTTCAACATTAGCTCAGTACTCCCCGCATTACTCTTTAGGAGGAGTGACTTTAAATGCATGGTTTTAAATTGAAAACCTAAGAAATGTTGAGGAGAAAAAGTCATATACGCATTGGTCAGCCAGCAGCTCATGTTTCCATTGGTTGGTGACATCAATTGGGCTGTCAGTTTCACTACCAGGCACGTGAATGCCCAGCTTGAGAGCGCGGTCTGATTTGTATATCTTTGAGGACATTCCCTAGCGCGTGATCAGCGCCTCTCGTCTGCTTTTGTGATTTATACAACATTAGCGATGTTGGAAGTGGACGAGCCAAAGGAGCTACCACCCTGGGCGCCGTCGTAAGAGGGAGCCGAAGACCGTCATTTTTTCCCACGCATACTATAAATATCAATATTTTTTTTTAGAAGAGAAGCCTAAATTAGAATTCTGTCTTTGAAAGGCTGACATTTTCAGCTTGCCATGGGTGGGCAGAACAAAATAGATTTTGTTTTTAAAAAAAATATGATAATATTAGCTTTGTAACTATCCACTATAACTCGATTTATGAATAAAAAACTTTAACACAACCTGTACGAGAAATATTTGTTTATGGTTTGTTTTTTTTTGTTTTTTTTGAGAGAAAGAAAACATTTCAAGTTGAACTATGCTTATTTACTGCTAGTTAACCGATACATGGGGCACATTATATAAAATCTTATAACATGGTGAAAAAAAGCAACAAAAAAAACAAAACAATGACACTTATCATATTCCTATAAAATTAATAATAATAATATAATAAAGTTTATTTGAAAAACACGCTTCATCCCCAAAAGCTCGAAGCGAGGTACAAAGTCAACCATATTAAAAAGAGAAATGAAAAACAATCTAAAATTTACCACATTTTAAAAACAGACGCAACAATCTAAAGCTACATACGAGCATGCTTCTTATGTATTTAATCATATACTCATCAGTCACACAAGCTACATGCACAGAGACGGAGAAAAAAAAGGGGGGGGGGGTTTAAACAAATACATTGTGCATACCCAGCTCACAAACGATTGTATTCCAAACTAAAGATCACGTGAACATTCTCAAATTTATATTTCCATCTATATATATTTTTTTTAAAATGTTATTTCAGTTTAATTAATTCTAAAAATATACAACAAACTGAATGTTTTTTTAATGAGATGAACATTAAATATGCAACCACCTGTTGGCTTACAACAAGTTTGAATTGGGGATTTATTTTCATGCAAAAAAAAACAAAAAAAACAATCATTTTAAAAAATACAAAATTATTCTCATAAATTAATGTTATATCAATAGGTTCCTATACGATATTTGCATAACATCAGTGTTAGTGGAGTTCTGTGGGTGATTGTATTTGTCTATTTAAAGCCAGTTGGGGGCCTACGTGTGTAAAAAAAAAAAAAAGAAGAAAGGATAATGAAAAAGCACACATAAAATTTTATACCTAAATTGATGTACGTCCTTAAGACAGGACCACCGCCACCGAAACACAAGTGAAATTCATCATTGTGTGATCAGGCGAAGATTTGCTACATGTACTTGAAAGTACACATCAATATTATTTACATGTTTTGGGTGGATTTTTTGGTATCCCTGCCTGGTACAGTTATTGGTATTGTGAAACGTGCACGTTTGTTATTACACGGGAATGGTACAGTTTTTAGTCACCTGGCGTTGTAAAGTAAGTGGTGTCCGTGTCTGGCACAGTTGCTAATTGGTGTCTTGGTACAGGTGTTCGTATCCTGTCCTGGCACATCTTTTTTGTATCCTAGTGGCCTGGTACAGTTTGTATTCTGTCCAACTACAGTTTGATTGGTACCCTGACTGGTAAAAATAGTATCCGGTCCTGGTACAGCTATTTTTGGTACTCTAACTGGTACAAATGTTATTATTTTGTCTTGGTACAGTTTTTCTTTTTGAAGTGGCTATTCGTACGCGGATACCAAAAGTGAGAGATTGGGATTACAAAAATATTGTTGGGTTTGTAAGACAAAATGAGGTCGCAAATGAAAGATAATTGAATGAACTCTATGTTTGCAAAGTTAATTCTTCAGTTTAACTAAAATAAACTACAACGAATGACATCCGAATAGCACTAAGTCAAAATGAACTCCCAAGGGGACTCGCCAGCACCATGCCAGAAAGTGGACCCCCCTCGCCAGATCCTCGACGCGGGCGGCCTGGCCTCTGTGCCTCGGATTATACAAGTCCACACAGTTGTATACTTACGGTATTTAGTCCTCTTTGTAAAGCAACTTTGCTACATAGAAACATTGTGTGTCAATCAGGTTTACATTTTATTAGAGTTACTCCTAACAAAAAAAAGAATAAATCTTTAAATTCCACTTTGTTTCCGTCATAGTATATAATATAGTCTTAGTTTGTCCCACTAAATTATATATTTTTTTATTGGTGCCAGTTGTTCGGCCTGTCATCATTCCGGTGGGTGGTTATTGTACTTTCAATTTTTTTCTTCAGAACTTGCAACAGCTCTGTCCCACGGCACGGGGCAGGGGAGCAGCCTCCCCAGAACCTTGCCAGGGGAGCTCGGTCCCACGGCTCGGGGCAGGGGAGCAGCCTCCCCAGAACCTTGCCAGGGGAGCTCGATCTCACAAAGTTTCAGCTGTGTGATAACATAATCTATTACTCTATGCGAACATCTTCGAGTATTTTCTGACGCCGATGGCGTTCCACAACACTGTGTTTCAACGAGTACTCAGACACATCGAATTTTGGAATACAATAACTTCACATTATTACCGTATTTCGCTACAATTGCACAGTCTATCTGAAAACAAAGTAGTCATCACACACTCAAGCCTCATGACTATATCTTTAATCATCTCTCTTTTATACTTTCTTTCTCATGCCTTATATCCATAAACTTGTTTATTGTTCTATTCTTGTCATCCAATGATCCTTCAGACACAATAGTAACACTCATGACACAACTCACTGACCCGAACAGCTTTCATACTAATTACAGTTATTCTCTTACCATTGAAACTATTCTGCAGTAAGATGAAGGTCTCGAGATTTTCTTTTCTAAGGCTATCAAGGAACAGACTAATCCAAAATAAAAGTGTCCCTCATGTCATAAGGAGCGTTAGGAAACAGAATCCTTCAATAATTTGAACCAGGGCAAATAACCACTTGGTGATACACTTGAATTCGTTCACCGTTGACGGTTATGTACTTTTTGAAGAACAGATTCAGAGAACTTAACTGCAGTGTAAAGAAGTTTGACCAGGTATTAGTGATTGACATTGATCAAGTTGAGATCATGAAACAGAGGGTGAAGGAAGGCCAAAACTGCTTTTTTTTTTTTTTGTTAGTATTTTGAAAATAAGTTTTCTATTACAAATAAGCTCTTGAGTAGTCGTTTAAAAATAAAAACTTAGTGACCACATTCCTAAATTAATCTCGACACCAAAAAACGTTTCAGAACCAAAAACAAATGTACACATAGAAACCGAAATCAAACCCAAAGAATCTTGAATAATGGCGTTGCTTTGGCCAATGGTCACTTTAAGGAAATTAGACGATGATCTTTCTGAACATGTTAATGGAAGTCTACAGGACTATAAGAGTACTCACCATCCAATGATTTATCTTTAAAGGACTCAATTTTCATTTCAACTCGTAACCTGTGAGTCAAGCTAGTGGGTGAGTCTGTGGGTCATTAGGCTTGTATATAATATGAATTTAACAAAATAAAAAAAAAAAAAAAAAAAAAAAGACAGAAATGCGAAAAAATTATCTTTAAAGGACTCAATTTTCATTTCAAGTCGTAACCTGTGAGTAAAGTTAGTGGGTGAGTCTGTGGGTCATTAGGCTTGTATATAATAAGAATTTAACAAAATAAAAAAAAAAAAAAAAAAATGAAGACAGAGATGCGAAATACGCCATGTTAATTGAGTGTTATGCTATTTTAATCTGGACTGTTTCAATAGGACATTAAAAGAAGTACAGATCTAACACTCTGTCCACGGTCTCATAGGCGCCCTCAGACCATCCGACATGGTGACCACGAGAGTGATCTGCCCCTACAAGAAACACGTCATCCGTCAAAGATGGACGCTGCACGGTCGATATGACGTCATCGTAACGGTATCCATATTTCCAAAGTGACCAAGAACCCCCGAAAGGATAACCTTTCCAGAACTGGGATATTGCCGACAGCGGTTCTGGGACAGATTTCCTGGCTATTCCGTAAACCTTCGACAGCTGATCTAACAGATCGTTCTTGAGTGTGATAGTCACCCTGTTTACACCGTTAGGAGAACCGCTGGTGACTTTGCCTTTAGCGTTGAGGCTTTCCAGGTACTTCGCCTTGTTTTCATCCGCGTAGCTGGCCAGTATGACGTAGGCACCGGAAACATTAGAGCGCCCCCAGTGGAAGAACTTACTGAAGTTCATATCGGAGTAGGTGGTGTAGGAGGGGTGGGCAGAGGCGTTGCCCAACCACCAGGGCTCCGAGAAGCTCATGAAAACCTTGCAGCCCACGACAGGACGTACTGCGTTGATGGCTTCGTCGACTCGGTCATCTCTGTCAGAAATACAAAATACGGTGGCAATAAGAAAACATTTTAAAAACATATACCACATAAAAAAACTCTGTGAGACTGAATAAATATATTTGCGCATATGTTTATTTGCAAATATTAATTAACCAAAGTTAAAACCAAGCAATTGATCAAAGCCAAATTTGCAATGGTAAAAATTCTTGAACTTTGGGTGATTCCTGGTAAGTTTGTGTAAACTCTGTAACTCTAAACCATTTTTGTTTTTAAATAATCAAATGTATGACCCTGGTAACAGTGGGTTCGCTCGTAACTTATATTTTAAAGACACGATTAAAATTTCTACTAAGACGTTTTTACAAAACGTGACGTAAAGTGAATTGGTGCTGTTCACTTCAAACAGAGCCAAGAACAAACGTAAAGGTCGTGTAACAGCTTCTCGTGGTCATATACGGCTCTTTGAAAGACAGCTGATGTCATTTTTTGAGAAAGCTTTCGTAAAATGCAACTTGCAAAATGGTACTTTTGTAGATAAAAGTTATAAAAATTACCTCAACACGCAAGAACAAAATAACGTTTCCAGAACCGTAAATTAGCATAAACAAGTTGTGAAATGACGTTAGACTGATCCAAATCAATTTAATAATATAATAAGCACACAGGATGTGCTTTAAAATAATTTAACCAAAGATTTAACGCAGGAGATCTGAACCAGAGTTGGCAATGATTCAATACTTTTTATGGCGCTCGTGTCGATGCTATTTTAGCGCGCTCGTTATGTCCTCAAATCTACATAAAGAAAAATATCATCAAATTTTTCTGAAATGGTTTTTGTTTTTCATCTTCAATTCAACTCAAAGATTTAGCCAAACTGTTCCATTATTTAGGCACTACAGCTTTAAAAGGGCGCCCTCCGTTTGACTTCTTTATGTGTCGATCCACACTGGGAACCCTCAGTAAAGACTGTGTTGAAGAGCGCAAGTTCAGTAAGGATACATGTTTAGAAAACAGTTCTGTGAGATAATCGGGTGCAGTGCCTTCTATACATCTGTACCTCAGGGGCAGAATTTTGTGCTCAGTGCGCTCATGCAAAGTAAGCCAATGGAGATCTTTAAGAACTGTTTTTATGTAGTAAGATTTCGTCAGAGTGCCATGGGTAACGAGAAGACCCAGAAAATAATTTTTCTCCCATTATGTTAGCATTTCAGAAACATGTGTTAAAATCATTTTGGGGGGAGCGGTAAAGACATTGAAATCATGAGAGTTGCGGCGCTGCATCGAGCTTGAGAACCCTCGATTTAACATTTACCGTGATCATTTCTTCATAATGACAAACTTTTTAAAAAGATGTAAAATTACAGAGAATCCATGTGTACTCACCGCAGTGGTTTCCACTTGACTTCGCTGAGAGCAAACTGTGGTATGGCTACAATGACCTTCCTGGCGCAGACAGATAGGCTTGAATCCTAGATACAAAATTGCATCCGTTTATTTAGGGTGGGGGAAACAAAATAAACAAAACTGGGCAATTTGTACTTTGTAACAAACAATATTATTACAATATTCTTGAAATTAAATTATTTTGAAGAGATTTCATTGTAAGTTTATTATATAGTTAACCAATTCTGAATGGGTGTATTTTTTTTCTTTTTATCTCGGACGAACTTAGGATAAGCGTGCAACTGTTCCCAATATTTGCTCAAACCTACAAATATCGTAAATGCAGTGGTGAACAGAAGGAGAGAGTGGTGAGGATGAGGCCGTCCAGCCAGTGATGCACACTTTTGTCTTAGCATGGACGTGTTGTATTTTTAGATAACTTTAGATTTTCTTTGTTTTTTTGTATTTTTTGTAGAAAAAATGAAAAGAAGAGGGTTGGGGGGGGGGCTGCGGGGGGGGGGGGCGTAAAAAAATATTGTCCAACCTTGGGTGGCACAAAACCTACCCCCTGCGATTGTTATGTGGGGTAGAAAGAACGTATCCGTTACACATTGACATATTGATACAATTCTTTAAGGATTAAGAGCCATTAAACAACCGTGTCTACATATTTGTTTAACTAATAAAGGCTCAAGTTTGTTCTAAAATTTCAGTACTTGGACTTAGATAAAGCTTTAAAGTAGATTAATTATACACGAACAATGTGTGTCAATACAACAATACAGGTTTTGCTTTAATAATTATTTTTTATTTTTTTTACAGAACACACAGGTAAACGTTTCGAAAAATGCTGACCTTGAAATAAGTATAAATTAAATTGACACAATATATTTATGCACGTATCCTAGTTTAAGACAATCGAAGATTTCGCTGTTTGTTTTTTGTTTTTCCAATTCTTCCATTGAACACACTAAAGATATATAAATAGCATAACCAATAAAATTTGTGGCTAATGGGGATCTATAGATTAATTTTTTTATAGTAATGAAATGTTAATTTAAACATTTATTAGGGTGTCCTATTTCCGAACGACAATTATCCGAAGCATCGGTTATCCGAAATGCCCTGGTGCACTTTTTATTCATTATTAACATACACTATGGTCATTGCCTGTAGACTTTGTTGACAATCACCGGAAAATAATTCCGACCTCTGTCGCACGTTTCAGGTAAAAATCTAGATTCGCACTGTGTATGCAGTAGCCACGGTACAATAATGCAAGCAGCAAATTATTTAATTAAAAGATCTATTTGAAGAATTTACGACTGTAAAGTGGTAAAGACAATTTGACTTCAAATTCAATACCAAAAAGCACTTAACTTGCGTAATGTAAATCTACGGTCCACAGTTCGACCAAAAAAATTAGAGATTAAACAGAAATTAAAACCTATAGACAAAAAACTCCCGCTTCACCGTATTTTTTGTGACGCCATCTATTGTCTGCGTCTGCTGGAAGGTTAGTAGGTAATCGCCTGCCTTGTTACGAGTGATGGACACCAGGCGTTTGTTGAGTGACAGCGCGTGGCTGTAGGTGGATACCGTTGAAAGTTAAGTGAAATAACAGGCAAAAATATTAACGTGTAAGTTGAATAACAGGTGAGTAAAACTCAGATTAGTAAAATAAAAAAATGTAAAAAAATGTTTTTAAATGTATTTAAAACAGATGAGTTAAACAAAAGATGAGTTACATGAAAGGTGAATAAAATAAGAGGAGATTAAAACAACAGGTTTGAAATGACAGGTGAGTAAAATATTTGACAAATAATATCGATTAATTGACACGCTGGGGCTGCAAGTAAACAATGTAGATTACGTTCCAGATGGTTGTAACATCTGCCTGGCACATGGGAAAACACGGTTCCAAACATCGATCTGAAGTTCGATTGATATGAGCCATTGCATGTTTAAACAATCGAAATAATTCCCCATTCAAAATCATTTAAAATCAATGCACAACCAAAAACATTGTCCATCAAAAACTTTGTACAGGTGAACCCCGCTATACCGATATCCACAGAATGCTATTTCTGATACAATGAGTTAATCGCATGTCTCATTGTGTTGTTAGAATAGATGTCAGGTTCTTTAGTGCATGTCGATCCTTGTATGGTCAAAATAGATTTCAGGTTCTTGAGTGTATGTCAAGCATTGCGTGGAGAGAATAGTAGTTAAGGTTTTGAGTGTATGTGATTCATTATGTAGTCATCATATTTGTTAGATTCTTGCGTGTATGTAAATCATTGTGTGGGCAGCATACTTGTTTGTTTATTTATTTTAATTAAATTAATGAGTGGTCAAAAGACATTTTAGGCTCTTGTGTGTATGTGAATAATTTTGTGGTCAGTATACTTGTTAGTTTCTTTAGTGTATTTAAATTATTGTGTGGTAAAAATACATTTTAAGTTCTTGAGAGAATGTGATTCCTTGTGTGGTCAGAATAGTATTTGTTTTTTGTTGTTTTGGCTGTAAAAAGTATTTGTGTATCAGTTTATATGGACTTGTATTTGCTGATATATTTGAGTATGGGAAATGACGTTGTGAATGTGTTATGGTTTTGTATAGCAATGATAGAGTGCTTCTATAATTGAATGTTATGGATTGAACTACGGTAATGTCGAGCTTTTAAAACTGGTGTTTTTTTTTCATAAAGTAATGTAACCCCTAGACAAATGGAAGTCTTCTGCTGTGAGTAAACGTACCTACTCCGGGAGTTGTTCATGTGAAAAAAGTAAGATCCTAAAATATGTAAGTTATTAACGTTAGAAATATAGTAACATAATTAAATTGAATTATATACCAACAGCAAACATTTCAGTTTTTGTGTGACGTAACAAGTGGTGGTCATTGAGGATTCCAATTCCCGATCAACATTTAATAATAGCTATCACAAACATTTGTAATTCATCACAAAGAATTACGTTCACTGTCAAATCAGTTATACCACACAAACGAAAAGATAGTGGTCTATCTACACCGCAAGATCGTAAGAAAAAGTCATCATGATCTTCGGAAACAGTCCAGGAACAAAATGCGATATTGGAAACTGCTCGAGTACGCAATGCTCAAGCCCGTACGACTGACACAGTCAAGCAACGGTAAGCAAGACTGGATCTCGATAGTTTACGCTCTGTTCGATCAAATCAAACACTGCACGCTGAATTAAATCTTAATGCATTCCATAACGATGCTAATTATGATTACATTCTTCATGCAATTGTGGTTTCTGGAAAAAATGATGAAATATGCGTGTATTGCAGTGCCCTCAAATTTAAGATTGAAACAACAAAAAATGTGTTGCGTGGGTGAAAAAGTGAAATAGCCAGAATTAAATTCACCACCCGAACCATTATTAACGTTGGTATCAGGCTACGCAAAAGCAATCTTAACATTCTTGTGAAACAGACCCAAGTACAAATCATTTTTCAAATTGGCATCGCCCGGTGCAACAAATGATGTGCACGAGAGTTACATGCCAACATTTAAAGTTCAAGGGCACATTCATCATCATGCATGATCACTACTACCACTGCCGAACACAGATCACAAACTTATTTAAATTTACTCCATGTGAAATACTAATTAAAAAATCGATCAATGTTTTCAAATAAGTGCGGGCACACTACGAGAAATTTTCGCTGCATTGCAACCTTTATTCTTTGGAACACAGCAAATTAATTCGATTTTTCAGAACTGCCCTTGAACATACACCAACTGATGACTAAATGTTGTATTCAGAGCATAAAAAACACCTTTCGGCCAACACGAAAGACAATACACTACAACAACAATTTATTAAGTGATGATCATTTTAGTTGTCGAACAATTTAACTCAAGTAATATAATGTTTCATTGCAGAAATGTTGATGTTCAGCGAGTCTCAGAAACTCCTCGATCATTCGACGGATTGCAATATCAAATTTTATTTTGACAAGAAGAAGATGGATATCTTTTCAACATCAAATTGAGAAATCCACAAACAGATGAGGAAACAAATAAGAAATCCAATGCGGTCGTTTACTATTCATATCGATTGATGATTCGTTATAGTGATGAAAATCATATCTTGAAAATTCGATGATTATTCGATCAACACATTGTTGAGAAGTATTCAAAATTGAAACCGAATGACTTCTCTAAATTCAATTAAATCAAACCAACATGCGTTCCTGAAAGTACTTTTTTTATGTTATTATTCACTTTTTTTTTCCTTTTTTTTTGGGGGGTGTGTGTGGATTTCTACTGAATTGTAACCCACGTAAAATTAAAGTTTCTTTTTTTTAAAATGCATTTCAGATAGCTTAAGAAAATTTTTTATTATTATGATATTAAAAGAGAAAAGCAGTTTAATTTAATAAATATTGGCAATGTTTGTTTTTTTCTTATACACCTGTGTTACGACAGTAGCGCATTTTAAGAAAACACACACGCTTTCGATTTTATAAAAAATTGATTTTGAAGATACATCCGCTATTTTGTAAGCACGCGTTAAATTTCTATTTTTGTTTTTAAAAAATGCCATTTTTAAATTGTTTTATTTTTTTTCTAAATTAGTAGACATGACATCGATTACAATTAAAATTAGGCAAATAACTAAATTTTTTAAAATCATATTGCTATCAAACATTTTATATATAGCACATATCAGTACTTTAAAAGTCATGCTTTTATGATGAAATATAATTTAAAAAATAGACTGCACCTGTTTGAAAATAAATAAGAATTGCAATAAAATTGTAGATTTTCATATTTGACATAAAGGTATTTTAATACAGCGTTCTTAAAGTGTTTAAACTTGTGAAATTTCAACAAAATTAATCAATAAAAATATCGATGTATGCGAGCAGCCGATAAGTCAGATATTTATGAAATGTGATCAGGGGCGGTGGGTTTTTAAAGCAATACGATATTTATAATCGAATTCTGTAAGCCTGCAACAGGATTGGCCCTTAAAGATAGGGATCATAAATGTATCGGGTGTAGCGATATTTCATAGGTTCCACTTAATTATCCACTTAGAATCGGAGAAAGGCACACGTTTCTATTACTGTTCTATAAAAAAATAAAATTTAGTAGTTCTATATGACAGAAAATCTTGTTTATTTTTTTTGTTGTACACATTTTTCCTAGGGGGTGGGGAGGGGTTGCATGACGTTATACCAACACGATGACACAACATGCTGACATCTGACCTGGCACTGGCATTTAAGAAAGCTCGGATCATTCCTTTTGGTACCGCCGACATGCCTTCCTTGATCTCGTAGACGACATAATTGCCTCTGTGAGTCAAAATTAGCGGCGATCGTAAGTTTATAGAGATAAAATGTAAAAAAAAATGAAAAATTAAATATCAAAGTACAGAAAACAAAATTAGATCAAATATATGTAACGTCAAATATCAATAATATTACCAATAAATATATTAGATTATTTATGGCTTTAAAATATATATATAGAGAGAGGGTGATGGAATAAATGGCCGATAAGACCTCATTGAATTTGAGACAAGGTTACTGGCTCTATTATGAATTTTGGCGAGTTGATGCTATATTGGGTATAAAAGCGAGATTTCAAGCCTCGTAGGGGAAAGAGGTGACATTTGAGGCCTTATAGGAAATTCAGGGTGGGGGGATTTCAGGCCCCAAATTATCAAGTCCCCTGGGCCTCAACTTTACAAAAATTCTCTACTTTACTATTAGTCTTCCTAATAATTCATGGATTTTACTTTATTATTGTTGTCTGTGTGGTGCTTTATAGAATCGTATCGAAACAGAAGTTGATGACCAACAATAATATGTAGCACTATAAATTCCCTCACGTGTACGGCCCCAAGTTGTTCTCCAGCATTGTTAGAAAGCTGGCGTCGGGCGCCTCACCAAAGTCAAAGAGGTCAATCGCCTTCAAGAACTCCTTGCCGTCGGGCGTGGCCACCATGTCCAGGGCCTCGTTCACACTGTGGATGGATAGATGGATAGATGGATAGATGGAAAGATGGATAGATGGATAGATGGATAGATAGATAGATAGATAGATAGATGGATAGATGGATAGATGGATAGATGGATAGATGGATAGATGGATAGATGGATAGATGGATAGATGGATAGATGGATAGATGGATAGATGGATGGGTAGAAATGTGTGTTTAGTTTGTGTTAATTTGTTACCTGATCTATAGTGAGCTGCAGATACTTCCAAAATCTTGTACAAATATCTGACAATACATCACGAACACCATACATTTTAGAGTTAAAGGTGAGTTCACATATACATACGGAATCATGTAAAGACATTGATGACCATATCAAACATACGGTATCCTATGCAGGTATCTGCCGTCTGCCACTTTGAGCTGCATCAGGATGTCCTGTGTTACCTCCGTGCCGTTGTAACCTGTGAGTTTCTCCAAGTAATACCTGGGAGGTTGGGGAAAGGGTTGTGTGTATAATAATAATAATAGTAATAATAAGAGGTCTTATACAGTGCGGTACCCCAGCCTAGGGCTGGGCTCACCACGATGCACACAAAAATTTTATCAAAAGAGACATAATCATGACATTAAAATAAAATACATTTTTGAAATGAAGAACAGCAATGTATATTCACCCACCCCACCACATAACTTTTACAAGGAAAACCATGGACGGCAGCCAGCAAGATCGTGTATACGATAGTGTTATGGTTAGATAATCTTAGTCAAATGTATTCACCTATGTGTTGACTGGAAAACGCATGACAAAGAGGAATGGATGAGACGATTGTGGATCAACATTGACTTTTTTTTTGGTTAAAAATTGTAGAAAAATATACAATAGTATAGATTAACATAACATATAAAGTTATGTAAAATATTGTGTAGAACAGTATAGTATAGTCTCGTATAGCATATTATTGTATTGTATAGTATCGTATAGTATATTATTGTATGGTATAGTGTAGTAGAGTATAGTATAGTAAATTAAAGTATAGTATTGTATAGTATCACATAGAATGTTATATAATCGTGAAATATCGTAAGAGACATTACATTTTCGTAAAGTATCGTATAGCATAGTATCGAATGGTGTAGTATAAAACAGTATCATATAATATAGTATAGTTTATCATATTATCGTCTAATATAGTATATTTTTGTTTGTTTGGTATAGTAAGACATGGCATAGTGTTGAAGCTAGACTATGGTCCATTATAATTGGGCATCAATGATTCTGGTGTACGTTTAGTTCGATCTATTAGAAAAATAATTGTCAAATTGCTCTGGTATGGTCTGATATGGTATGTTATTGTATGGTATGATATCTTTTTATGGTCTGATATGGTATGTTATTGTATGGTATGATAACTTATGGCATGGTATCTATGGTATGGTATGGTATGGTATGGTATTTCATGGTATGGTGTGGTCTGGTATGGTCTGGCAGGGTGTGGTCTGGTATGATATGATATGGTATAGTCTGGTATGGTAATTTATTTTTAGGTATGTTATGGTAAGGTATAGTCTTCTTTGGTCTGGTATGGAAAGTTATGGTCTGGTCTGAGATGGCATGGGAAATAATTGTATGGTATACCATTTTACAGTATTGCATGGTGTGGTATAGTATACTATCGTACATTTTGTTTACCTAAATAGTCTCCCTTGGTTGGCTTTCTCCTCCGGGTTAAACTTAAAAGGGACATCACCCGATGCCACTTGATCTGGTGTTAAACTTTGACCCCGGAGGTAAAACCTTGACTGGGAGGAGTCTCCGTGTTTCTCATTAAACCCTTGGCGTGTCAGTCCTGGGAGATTTAATATAATGATAAAAATTAATTTCAGATACAATCTGTCATGTAAAAAATCAAATGTTAATGCGCTTGTGAAAACGATGTGCTACTAGGCGTGCAAAATAAAACTCACCGTAACTGCACCAATTTGTATGAATAAAAATTGTGTTACAGCCTTTGTGTTGCCATGTTTTCAACTAACCTATCGTTGTGTCAATCAATCTTCTCTTCCTTTTTTCTGTTTTGTTATATTGACGTCACCGATTACATATATAGAGCTATACCAAAGCTACCTCTCAAAAACAAAACATTAAAAAGCTGCAGGTTTTTATAAACAGATGCTTGCGAAGGGTCCTCAAAATAAGATGGTTTGACCAAATTTCTAATACTGTCCTTTGGGAGAGAACAACAAGTTTTCCGATGGAAACGGAGATAAATATCAGGAAATGGAGATGGATATGGCACTTATTAAGGAAACCAATCAATAACATCACAAGATCTGCCCTGAACTGAAATCCTCAAGGTACCAGGAATTGGGTAATACCAATAGCCACATGGAAGAGACGCGTAGAGACAGAGGGGAAGAGAATGAAGAAAAGCTGGGCTGAACTAGCAAAGATATTCCAGGACAGGGACAGATGGAAAACTATTATGGTTGGCCAATGCTTCTTTGAGAGTGAGAATGACTAAGAAAAAGAAGAAATATTCCTCTCCCGTGATTGGGGGAAGGTTGTTACGGTTCTAATTGTTCTGAAAAAAAATCTGTTAGGTGTGGACATTTCTATCATTTCATTTCTGGGAGGTTCTAACAATATACTTAAATATATATATATATANATACATATATATATATATATATATACATAAAATGATGGATCTTGACCAAACTTCGGACATGTATCCATTATTATCTGGAAGGAATTCTTGGGGTTGTGAACTTTTTATGTCCTTTCGTTTGGGGCCTGGTGCCCCAAATTCTTTTTTTTTAATAATGTTATCGAGTTAAATAAAAGTAGCAACAAAAACTCTTTCATGAATGAATGGATCTTGGCGAAACTTAGTACACATACACTTGATTATCCATATTCAAACACCGAAGGTTATTGAGCTCATAATAACCATTCCTCTGGGGCCTTATATAAGCAATATAAATATCAATAGGCTCAGACATCGCTATAGGTTATATGTGACTTGATGGATCCAGGCCTAGCCTAGCGTAGTAGCAATACACTTCATATTCATTTTCCGTATTGAATTATCGGTGCATTTAAAACTACCAATTATCCAATCTAGAATTTTCCAGAAAGTTCTAGATTTTTAAAAGATATATCATTTGAAAATACATTTTAAAAAGCTATATAAATATCAATAGTCTTAATACTCCTGCATGAATTGATGGATCTTGACCTAAATTACACTTGATTATCCCTATTCAAATACCCAAGTGTACTGAACTCATAATATCCACTCATTTTTTTGCCGGGGCCCCATTTCATTTTTCCTTATTTAAGCTATATATAAATATCAATAGGCTTAGAAAACACTATAGCTTCTATGTGAATTGTTGAATGTAGGCTTAGAGTTTTAGCAATACCATTCATTGTCTCCTTACTGAAATATGGTGGATTTAAACTAATACATTTCAATCCATTCAGTGCCGATCTAGAATTTTCGAGAAAGTTCTATTATTTAAAAACTCTATATTTATGGCATTTAAAACGGATTTTAATAGGACGACTTTTAAATTATAACTCTATCATTTATCTGACTGATTTAGAAAGGGCCCACTATCTCAGGACAAACTAAATCGCTACACTTATAGGATGGCCCCCCCCCCCTTTTGAGCCCCTCTCTCAACTTAAATGTACTATAGTTATAGTAGTTCATATAGTTGTAAAATTTTTCGTATTCCAAAAATAATTACGTAAAAAAAATCATTTTGACACGTTTATTGAAATAATACTTTAGTTCCATTCATTTCTATACTTTCACTGGTATTTTTCTTCAAACGAACTCTTTATAATCGTACCGGAAACAAAATCACACTGGGAACATGATCACGCCGAGGAACAGGTTCCTAACGGGGAAAGAGATCCAACAAAAAAAGTGGAACCCACATGTGACGAGATCAAATCGGCTCCTATCCTAGAAATACATATACAAGATCCGGCAGCTTTACGAGACAGGAGGGATTTGGTTAATGTTCCTCGACATTTACAAGACGTCATAAACTTACAAGACAGTCATCTTTATATGTGTTTGTGTGTGATTTAATTTGTTTATCTTTCTAAAACTGTAGCTTTTAACTGGCAAGGCTGTAAGCTGACATATCTTTTATTTATGTATCTTTAATGTTGTATTGCATCAAAAAAATAAAATTGAATATTATTAATATCACCAACTTTGTTTCGGTATTCTTTGTATAATGGTTTTCAGTTTTTCTTAACGTCTTATTTATTCAACGATCTAAATCTTAAAACAGATAAAAGTTCAAAAACAAAAAAATTATGTAACGGTAATACATAAATAGAAAATATTATTACTTTCAATTCCTCATATAAAAACTATCATTTTTATAGCATTAGCTAAACCGTTACGAATTCAATGAATACTTTGTACAATAGTTTAATGGTTACGAATGTGATTCATACTTTACACCGCTATTGCTAAGTTGTAATTTTAAAAATAAAGCCGTGACGTATCGCTTTCCACAAGAAAAGTTTGCTGTTCACAGTTTATATTTTTAAATAGTCGCAAATTGCGGTTTCCAAGTAACCCCAAAAAAAGAAATGCTCACACGACATTACGAACTTCAGTGTATTTACCAAAGGCGTCGACAAGTGTCTGAACTCTGGTGTGCACATCCGGTTTGTATCTCATACCCCCAAGTTCCACGGGAAGGTCCGGGGCATTCGGCAGGTATGACGAGTACAGTCGGCCCCCGATACGGTTCGAGAATTCGAACACCTCGATTTTCAACTTCTCGTTCCGGAGTCGGTAGGCGGCGTAGGTTCCAGAGGGGCCCCCACCAACAATGGCGACGTCGACACTCCTCCGACACACGTCTTTCGAATCTAAACACAAACATCACAAAAATATACGATTCAGACATTTAAAATATACACGATTCCGAAATAGTCATCCTTAAAAAAATATATTATTATTTCAGATTGATCTAATATATACGATTTCGGAATGGTGAAATATATAAGACTCGGCTATAGTCAAACATCTACGATTCCGGAAATGGTAAGACATGTGTTGAGTTTTCTTTAAGGAAAAACATTGACTGCAATAAAAGCTTAGATACATTAATTACACTAAGAACATTGACTGCAATGAAACATTGACTACAACAAAAAAGTAAAAACATTGACTACAACAAAAAAGTAAAAACATTGACTACAACAAAAAAGTAAAAACATTGACTACAACAAAAACGTAAAAACATTGACTACAACAAAAACGTAAAAACATTGACTACAACAAAAAAGTAAAAACATTGACTACAACAAAAACGTAAAAACATTGACTACAACAAAAAAGTAAAAACATTGACTACAACAAAAACGTAAAAACATTGACTACAACAAAAACGTAAAAACATTGACTACAACAAAAACGTAAAAACATTGACTACAATCAAATCTTAAAAAGATTGACTACAAATAAAAACATTAAAAAGCAAGACCCTTGGAATTAATGCAAGTCTTCAAGTGGAGCGAGCAACCCACAGCTCAATCTATAGACAAAACGTAGCAAAAACAGTCTCGGAAAATCTTCTTCGTCGAGGAAAAATGCAGAACAAACAAAGAGAATGCGCTATTTATGTTCCTTGACAAAGTCTTTTTGCAGACACGTTCCCTTTTTTTTGTTGTTGTTGTTGTTGTTGTTGTTGTCTTCATTTAGCTTTTTCCCAAAATTTAAATTTAACTTTCCCGTAGATTCCAACTTGTCCCGGAGTACCCACTTTATTAAAAATACAAAAAAGGCATTTAAATTAATTAAAATTTGGAACACAAAGGTCAGAAAACCAAAAATCAGAAAATACTTCCCATCATCACGTTTCTCCCGTGGTAGTCTGTAGGCATCAGAGCAAAGAAAGGTCAGCAGGACAAGTATAAATGCGTGTGTCAACATGGTTCTGAAATACAAATGTTTGTAATTATTTCAATTTTTTTAAAGAAAAAAAATACGATGACGTCAATGAAAGATATAAAATATTTTCGCATCCCATTCCCAATTTATTCATATTTATATAGCGGTTGCAGATTCTTAATTAATGGTGTATTTATAATAGATACATTTTAAAAACAATTAAACTTATAGAGAGATTTGAGTCTCCAACCTCCATCTTACCTGTGTAGCTTCAATACTTAAACAATTATCTTTACAGTTTTAATTGATACACAAATAAGTTGTTTTTCACTCATAAAACTCGTGATATGTTTCTAAACGATACATTTCTATTTCTCTTTTTTTTTTCTTTTAGACGTTAATCGAAATATATTAAAACTCAAGACAGTGTTAAGACAGGTCAACTAGATCAAAAGACGGCCTTTTCAACAGCACAATCTGGGCAAATTGGGTTGACGTTAATGCGTTCTAGAAAAATTTCCTCTTGCATTGACAGCGGGTTGAAGAAATCAATGTTAAATAATGCGTTAACATTGGTTGGCAATCGTGTCGAAATAATGTTTAATGCAGAGGCGTGTCTGAGGTGGGATCTGCTACAAGTCCAAAAATAGATTGAACCACGACAACTCCGGACGATCAGCCTCTTCAAAAAAATGTAATAAAAAATTATTATAGGAATTAATTTAAAAAAAATAATAACTTTGCTTTAATCTAGTAATAAAATAATAATAAAAATAATAATGATAATAAAACAAAGTTTAATATAAGCGTGACAAGGGGAGATTTCGTGACAGGCTAACCGTGACTGGGAGATTTCGTGACAGGCTAACCGTGACTGGGAGATTTCATGACAGGCTAACCGTGACTTGGAGATTTCGT